CACAAGGACGCTTCAAGAAAAATAAAGCAAAGGTCGTCGTCCGCCGTGGTGCTATTTCTGCCGTGAAGAGAACCATGATGCATGGGACTGTCCTAGACGTTTTGACCGCTCTTTCACTCGGCCTTCACGATCCTCTACTACAGTTAATCTGGCCGAAGCACTATCATAAAGTTGCTCTATATCGCAACCTAATGTTTCTGATTGGTACTTAGACACTGGGGCTTCTGCTCATATCACCTCGGATGCATCTCAGCTTGATGATCTTACTGATTACAACGGCTCCGATCGTGTCACAGTGGGTAATGGTGATCAACTTCCTATCACGCAAACTGGTTCTCTTATTTTCTCTAATTCTTTTTATTTACGCGATGTCCTCGTTCTGCCCAGAATGACTAAGATTCTTTTGTCTGTTAGCAAATTGACCAGAGACTTACCTGTTCATGTTATCTTCACTGACTCTTCCCTTCGTATTCAGCACAAGGACAGCGGCAACATATTCGCAACCGGCGTGCGTGATAGTGGCCTATACCGTTTGGATTTGGTGGTCAAGGTTTTTGCTGCTCACACATCCATATCTCGGCGTGCTTCCTCTGAACTTTGGCATTCCAGACTTGGACAATCCTCTCCAGCTATTTTATCTACTTTAGTCAATCTGAAGTTGTTATCTACTACTTCCAGTTTTTCTAAGTTCGTCTCATGTAATTCGTGTCATTTAGCTAAAAGCAAGCGTTTGTCTTTTCCTATTTCAACAAAACGATCTTCTGCTTTATTGGATTTAATTCATTGTGATTTGTGGGGACCTTCCCCGGTTACTTCTACTGCTGGTTTTCGGTATTATGTTATTTTTGTGGATGACTACTCGCGTTTTACTTGGTTCTACCCTCTTCATGCCAAATCGGATTTTTATGATACTTTTCTAAGCTTCCAGGCATTTGTGGAAAATCAGTTCTCTTGCACCATCAAACGTTTTCAGAGTGACGGGGGTTCTGATTTTGTTAACAATCGTGTTAAAGCACAGTTCTCTAAATGTGGCATTCACCATCTTCTATCTTGTCCGTATACTCCGGAGCAAAATGGTAGAGTTGAACGGAAGCATAGACACATCACGGAGATGGGTCTCACTCTTTTGTTTCATTCTTCAGCTCCTCTACATTTATGGGTTGAAGCCTTTAGTACTGCTGTGTTCACTATTAACCGACTTCCTTCACCGGTTCTTGACAATATTTCACCATTTGAATGTGTCTATGCAACGCAGCCGAGTTATGATCTCTTTCGCGTTTTGGTTGTCTGGTTTTTCCATGTCTACGCGACTATGTGAAGCACAAGCTCCAACCTCGCAGTCAGCCGTGCATCTTCATCGGCTATAGCCCTTCTCACAAAGGTTTTCGATGCTTGGATCCGTCGAACTCGAAGGTCTATATCACACGCCATGCTCACTTTGATGAATCGTGCTTCCCTTTCTCTTCAGTCACATCTTCGGTTGCTCCTTCTTCTCTGGATATTTAAACTTATGTTGATGGTTTTCTTTCTCCGGACACCGATCCACTTTCACCATCACCTACTCTGCCGCAGGCTCCTTCCACTTGCCGCATTTGTGCGTCGAGTGACTTGGTCCAGCCATCCGCTGTTCCACCACTTAATCCTCCTGTTACGAACCCCACTGATGATCTTCCTCACGAATAGCCTGCTGATGCGCAACTCGGTCTCCAATCAGATACCGCGCCACGAGCTCCTCCTGCTGCGCCACGCGCACCTCCTGTTGCCATGCATCCGATGCAAACTCGAGCAAAGTCAGGTATCTTTAAACCTCGATATCCTGCCACCATTAACTGTGCATCTCTTCTCACTGCTCTTACGGCTATTAACGGAGCCACGTGGCATCACGACTGCTCTTAAATATCCTGAATGGGTGCGTGCTATGCTTGAGGAATTATCTGCTTTAAAGGCGAATAATACTTGGTCTCTCGTGTCGCGCCCTTCCTCCACCAACACAGTCGATTCGAGGTGGGTGTTTTGCACTAAACTTCTTGCTGATGGTTCTGTTGATCGATATAAAGCTCGCTTGGTTGCCCAAGGGTTTAGCCAAATTCCTGGTTTTGATCACTCACACCTTCAGTCCGGTTGTCAAAGCATCCACTATTCGAATTGTTCTTTCACTTTCTGTTATGAACTCCTTGCCACTTCACCAACTGGACGTAAAAAATGCCTTCTTAAATGGTGTACTCTCTTCTCCGGTCTTTATGGAACATCCCCCTGGGTTCATTGATCCTCGTTTTCCTGACCATGTTTGTTAGTTAAATAAAGCCATCTATGGTCTCCAGCAAGCTCCCCTTGCTTGGTATCAATGCTTCCGCGGTTTTCTTCTTTCGATTGGCTTTTTATGCAGTTCTTCAGATACATCTCTCTTTGTTCACAAGAGCGGCGACACATTGGTTTATCTTTTGGTTTATGTTGATGACAGAATCATCACCGACAACGTTCCAACTGTCCTTGCAGCCCTCATCTCTCGTCTGCATCGCGAGTTCGTGATTAAGGATATGGGCTCTCTTGGCTTCTTTCTTGTTCTAGAGGTTACTCGTTCCTCTTCCGGCTTATTTCTCAGTCAGACTAAGTATGCCTTGGACATTCTTAAGCGCGCCGAGCTTCAGCACTCCAAGCCCGTGGCTACCCCGCTTGCACCCGGCTCTTCCATGACCAAACATGGTGATCCTTTTGACAACCCGACACTTTATCGTTCTCTGGTTGGTGCGCTGCAATATTTAACAATCATGCGCCCAGATATTTCTTATTCGATAAACACTGTCAGTCAATTCCAGCAACATCTAACCATTGATCATTTCCAATCCGTCAAGCGGATTCTCCGCTACATCAAAGAAACGCTGAACTATGGTTTATCTTATTCTGATGGTCCTTCTTCTCTTGTTGGATACTCCGATGCTAACTGGGCACGGTGTTCTGACACTCGTCGCTCAACCTATGGCTATACCATTTATCTTGGCCCCATTCTTGTTTCCTGGAGTGCGAAGAAATAGCCAATCGTGGCTCGCTCTAGTTGTGAGTCTGAATATAGAGCCATTGCTCACACTGCTTCAGATATACAATGGGTAATGAATCTCCTTCGAGATTTGCATGCGGTTCCACCATCCTCTCCAACGCTCTACTCTGATAACACAAGTGCAACTTTCTCACTCAAAATCCGATTTCGCATAAGCGCGCAAAGCACATTGATATCGATTATCACTTCTTTCGATAGCTTGTGGACTCTGGGCGTCTATTCACTAAATTCGTGGAGTCCGACAATCAGGTGGCAGATATATTCACGAAGAGCTTGCCGCACGGTATCTTTAATTATTTCAGGACCAAGCTACGCGTTTCTGTTGCAGACACGACTTAGCTTGAGGGGGGGGTGTT